GATTAATTTTTTACTTTATTTTTTCTTAGGAGACTATATAGCTTTGTTTTTAGTTAGTTTTATTTTTATATTTTTCTTTTTATTTTTGTAAATTGTAAAGTTCGAATAAATTTAATAAAGATAAAGGCTACTATGCCATGTTTGCCTGGTTTTTGACTAGTGTAGTGCCGGCTGGAATTAACACTAGTGTAACTAAAATTATCAGTACATCTTAATATACATTACTATAAAGGGATCAGGAGGTTGTATCGGTATACGTTACATCGTGAAATTATATATAATATCGGCATAATGAGGTTTTTTTATTAGTGATGAAACGGGATAACAAAAATTTATCAGTAAAAGCAATTATCGGTATATAGAGTATCGGTACATCGAAGTTTGACTGTATTTACTATTTGATAACTTTTTAATAAATTTATAACAATAAGAAATCTTCCAATTGTATACATTTTTATTTAAAATTATTTGATATTTTACAAATTACAATAATTTCATTTAATAGTTTAAATTTATTATTAATTATTAAAAATACAAAATCAGAAATATAGTAACACTTCTATAAGTACACCCTCTATAAGTGCATAAATGCACACCCTCTCTAAGTGTACATTCTACTATTTTTTTACTATGGTCCTAAGGGAGGTGCATTCAGAAAGGTTTCACTGTACTACTAATACTATTATATTTTTCTTATACTTTCAAAACTTTATCTGGGATCTGGTATCCAAGTTGGAGCCAATTCCCTATAAAAGAAATAAAAAAATATTAAATGAATTTTTTTAAAAAAAAGTTTTGAAAGTTAAAACTTACTTATAGAATTCCAGTATATACATCAGAGTTGATTCCCTATAATAAAATAATAAAAAAAATATTTTTTATTAACATTTTTTTATAAGTTTTGAAAAAAATTTCTGAAACTTGTTTATAAAATTTGGTATTTAACTTTAAAACCAATTCCCTATAATAGAATATTAGAAAAAAAATGTTAAAAACATTTTTTTAATAGTTTTGAAAATTTATTTTTCAAAACTTACCTATAGGATTCATTATAACTGATATAATAGAATATTAGGAAAAAAATGTTTTTTTAAAAGTTTTAAAATTTTATTTTTTGAAACTTACCTATGGGATTCATTATAACCAATTCCTTATAATAGTTTCAAAATTTACTTATGAAATTTATTATAATCAATTCCGTATAATAGAATATTAGGAAAAAATATTAAAAAACAATTTTTTAAGAATAAATCTAATTGCAATAGGCTAATAGCCTATTATATGTCTTATTTGTAATAATCCCTAATTTTATCCAATTAAAATTTAAGATTAGCATAATGTAAATAAAAACAAAAAATCAATTGTGTAACTAATTTTTTTAAAAAATTTCAAGAAACTGCTTATAACTTAAAATTTTGTTTATAAAACTGTCTTAAATACATTAAATAAAAGTTTTTCAAATTAAATTTTGCATATAAAAATATATATAACAGGCTGTTACAAATACATTTATTCATATTGGCTAACTATCAAAATTGGGCTTAATTTTATATTGTAATTTTGATTAATATTATACAGCTACAATTAGTAAAAAAAATTTTCATGATAAATTTAACGAACACACCCTTAAAAAAAATAACATATAAAAAACATGTTTAACTGATAAATACAGTCTAAAACTGATAAGTTTGAATAGTGGAAAACCAGTAGAAGGCAATTGGCATCTTATAATTTCAAATATTACCAGTTATTACTAAATTAAAAATTGAAGAAATTAAAGCTGAAAGAAAATGAAAAGAAAAAAATGGAAGAAAATATTTTCAAAATAGTTTATAATTAAGTAAAATATTTAAGAATATATTAGTATAACTTATAAAAGAATATAATGAAGAAGAATGCATCACAGTTTATCAAAGTATAGTATTATTAACCAAAAAAAACTCTAAAAAAAGTAATAGAATATTCATTTTCTAAGAAAAACAAATTAAAGATTACTAAATAGAAAGCTACTTTAGATTATAATTCATAAATTAAGAAGATTAAAAAAAAATAAAAGAATAACGTGTTAATGCAAAAAGTGAAAATATATTACAACTTGTTAAGATATAATGTTATTGATCAGTAAAGATTCTAAAAGGATAAAATATTCATATTCTAAGAAAAATAAAGAAAAATAACAATTTGAAAACATTAGTCAAAAAAGGAATATTCAGTCTTAATACAATTTGGCCTATATTCGACTAAAATTAAAAAAATTCAATCTCAATTAGTAATAATCTATGATTAGATATATATTCAACCTTGTTGAATTATGTTAATTAAATGTTACGATTATTATATGTTATGCGCTACGTGCAGTGTTGTCATAGGGACGGGACATGTCCATGGACGGGACGGGACGGGACAGTTCAGGACACGTCCAAGGATTTTAGCAATGTTCGGGACATTGGGACATTAAAATCACGTGATCTTAATTATAAATTATAGCCCATTAGGTGCTGTCTTGATAAGACAAATTGTAAACTTGGACAATTTTTGGACGGGACATGGACGGGACATGGACGGGATATTAAAATTTTGGCGGGACATGTCCCATGTACAACACTGGCTACGTGTATTAAAAGTTTAAAAATAAAAGGATTATCTTATGCATCCTTTTTTAAACTTTTTTAATTTCTTCCTTTTCCTCCCCTTTCCCTTCCTTCGTTCCATTTTCCCTTCGTTTCTGTTTCTCTTCTTTCCCTTTCCTTTTTTTTGTTCTCCTTTCCCTTCCTTCCCTTTTCCCTTCCTTCTCCTTTCCCCTTTTACTTTCTTTTATCCCTTTTTTTTTAATATGAACGGTTAATATTAACCATTCTTTTTTACTTTTTTTTTTAGTTTCAGCACTCAAGTGGGCTTCTGAAGTATAAAAACCCTAAAGATTCGTAAGTATAAATTCTTTGGTTTTTTTTTATTTTTTTTTTAATAAAATATGAACAGTTAATATTAACCATTTTTTTTATTTATTTTTTTTTTAGGTTTGGCATTCAGGTGGGTTTTTGAAGTATAGAAACCCAAAGATTCGTAAATATGAATTCTTTGAATTTTTTTTTTGTCTTTTTTTAATAAAATATAAATGGTTAATATTAACCGTTCTTTTTTACTTTTTTTTAGGTTCAGCTCTCAGACGACTTCCGAAGAATAGAAAAAACTAAGTTTTGTAAATTCGAAACTTGGTTATTTTTTTTGTTTATTTTTTAATATTATAAACAGTTATTAACTATTCTTTTTCTTTTATTTTTTATAAGTTCAGTAAGGCTTCTGTGTTCTAAAAAATGGGAAAATACCAAAGATTCATAAGAATCTTAGATTTTTTTTTATTTTTTTTAAAAAAATATTATGAACGGTTATTAATAACCGTTTTTTTATTTTTTTTAAAAAAATATTATGAACGGTTATTAATAACCGTTTTTTTCTTTTTTTTAGGATTGGGTGGAGTGTGCTTCTGACCTTCAGGAAAAGAAGAATCAAGATTTGTAAGTATGAATTTTGGTTTATTTTTTATATATATATATTTTTTAATATTACGAACAGTTACTAACACTGGTCAAAAAGAGATTTATCAGTACCTAATATGTATACGATTCATATTTTATAATACTCCACATATTGGATACAATGATACATATTAGATAGTTTTCCAACCTGGTAACATATTATATACTTGATTTTTTCCATAAACGTATACTTCCAAAAATATAAATTTCAAACTTCTGATATCCCTTCTAATAGTCACTAATATACCTGTCAGACCCTGATAAATATTAAAGATTTATCTTATACATCAAATATTCGATGTGTGCAATATTTATTTTTTCTTATATATTATACATATCATCGAATAGACTGCTTTTTGCATTAATATAATTAATTAATTGTAAATAAATATTTGATTTTTTTAATAAATTTTATTAATTTGGTTTTTTTAAAAAAATGGATTAATTTCAATCAAATATTTTAATTAAGAAATTATTAAGTATTTAAAAAAAATATAGCAGAATTTGATTCTGCCGATGCCACATAAATTTCAATTTTTTTTAGTTTAGTGCCCAATCCTATATACTAAAAATTTAACTTTCACCTAATAAAACTTGCAAATCTTTCTTCAACTGAGCTTTATCAATATTCGAACTCTCATTAGATTGCTGCTCTTCAAAAACTTGAAATATCAAATCACGTTTTTTCTTTTAAAATTCAAACATGCGATTTTCAATTGTATTTTCAATAAAAATTCTAAAGACAGAAACTGGTCAAGCTTGACCAATTCTATAAATTTGATCTATAGCTTGATTCTTAATACTTGGATTTTACCAAGGATCTATAAGAAAACATTGATTAGCTGCAGTAAGATTCAATCCCAAAGACCCACATTTCAAACTAATTAAAAGAATCTTTATTTCTGAATTATTGTTAAAATTATTTACTGCCTCCTCTCACTGATTACGTAATATCTTGCCATTAAATCGAACAAATTTGACATTTGCATCTTTAAAAGCAATTTCAATCAAATCAAGAAAAGATGTCTATTGGCTGAAGACTACTGATTTATTATCATTATTATTTTAATTTAAAAATTCCACTAAAGCTTCAATTTTAGAACTTATCTTAAAATTATTTAAATTTCTAATTTCTTTTTTGTTATCAATTCCATTTATTTGATTTATTTGTCTCTTACAAAGAAGTTGTGTGTAATTACAAATTTGTTTTAGTCTAAAAAGCATTTCAAGAAATGTTACATAATTATTTTTTAAATCGCCATTTCTTGATTCTTTCCAACTTTTAAATTGTTCTTTTGTATCACTTTTCATTTTATCATAAATCTTTTTCTCGTTCATCTTAAACTTAATTTTATGAGTATAGAAATTAATGGGAAGAAGACATACTATAGGATGTCCATTGAATTTCATGTCCTTTATTTTACGAAGACAAACGGTTTTTATAAGTTTCTTAAATCATTAAGATGACTGTTATTATTGTTTTTAAATTTCATTGTTTGTTGTTAAATATAGTATTCCATGTTTCAAAATTATCAAATGGGGTGAATCTTAAAAATTTAATTAAAAAATACATATCATTTAACTCGTTTATAATTGGGGTTTCTGTGAGAATCTATCTTCTCTCAGCATTCAAATTACATGCAGCAATACTTTGTTTTAATGATTTTGTACAAATAATATGTCCTTCATCTAAGATAACTTGAAGCCATTTAATAGCGAGTAATCCACTCCTTTCTTTAATATCTGATTGTGCAAAAATAGCATATGTAGTAATTATTATATCGTGATCTTTAAAGAATTCTGGATCATTATTTCGATCAATACCATGAAAAACGTAATAAGAAAGAGACCCTTTCTTAACATGTATGTTGATTTGGTCAATCCAATTTTTAAGCACACTTAAAGGAGTAACAATTAGAGTAGTTTTAGAATATGTGAAATCTAAATTGATTGCAGATTTGGAAGTTATCAAAGCAATCATTTGTATCGTTTTGCCAAGACCCATATCATTAGTGAGTATTTCACCTCTGTTAAGATTAAGGTGTGTTATTATTGCAAATCTTGCTACTGTATTATAGTAGTGTGTTTTTTTGATTGATCCTCCTTTTGAATTCAGAATTAAATTTCTTTATTAATAGTTGGCTCTTTAGGATGTTCATTTGATAACATCCACTCAAGACCTTATTTCTAATATGGAAGTAATTTCATAATTAATGTTTCTGGTTGTAGTGCTTCTAGAAGATTTACTAGAAATTCAGCTTCTGATTGTGGTACTAAATCCAATTTTTTTATACTTCTTTCAAAATCTTTGGAAATTTTAAATTTTGGTAATCCAACAACTGCACTGCTTTTGTTTTTTTTATAAAATTTTTGAAGAGTATTGTTATTTTCATTATTGTTGACTCGTTTAATTTTAAATTTTGGTAATTCTCCTGTATTATTGTTATTATTTTTGGTAAACATTGAGATTTTTATTTAAATAATTTTTATTTTGTTTTAGGGGAGTTACACATATCACGTAATATTCATTTTATTATAAACCTTACCCCCCCCCCCCCC